GCAGCAGCTGCAGCAGCAGCAGCAGCAGCAGCTGCAGCAGCAGCTGCAGCAGCAGCTGCAGCAGCAGGGCCTGCCTATCAAGGCTGACCCCGAGGCCAACGCTCACAAGCGGCGCCGCGCTCGAGACAGCAGCAGCAGCAGCAGCAGCAGCAGTAGCAGCAGCAGCAGCAGCAGCAGCAGCAGCGACAGCGACAGCAGCAGCAGCAGCAAGAAGCATAAAAAGGGCAGGGCGAAGAAGCTGAGAAGAAAAGACGGAGCCAAACTGGCCAAGTCGGAGCAGCAGCAGCAGCAGCAGCAGCAGCTGCAGCAGCAGCAGCAGCAGCAGTCAAAAGGAAGCAGAAGAGGAAATGAAGAAACTTCAGCTGCTGCTGACAGGGCTGCAGCAAAAAGCGCAGCAGCAGCAGCAGCAGCAGCAGCAGCAGCAGCAAGTGGAAGAGGAGACAGAAGAGGAGAAAAGGAAAAGGAGAAATGGACAAGTTCGGAAAAAGAGAAAAACAAAGAAATGAATAAAAACAAAGAATTAAATTTAAATGAAGAAATAAATAAAAATAAAGAAAGAAATAAAGAAACAAATAAAGAAATAAGTAAAGACAAATATTCAAATAAAGATAAATATAATTATAATTCAAACAAAGAAAGAAGTTCAAATAAAGATAATTATAATTACGAAGATAGAAATAAAAACAAATACAATTATAATTACAATTATGAAGAAAGAAATCCAAATAAAGACAAATATAATTACGAAAGAAGTTCAAATAAAGATAAATATAATTATAATTATGAAGAAAGAAATAAAGATAAAGATAATTATAATTATAATTATGAAGAAAGAAATAAAGAAAAGTATAATTATAATTATAATTATGAAGAAAGAAATAAAGAAAAGTATAATTACGAAGAAAGAAATAAAAGCAAATATAATTACGAAGAAAGAAATAAAGATAAATACAATTATGAAGAAAGAAATAAAAATAAATGTAATTATAATTATGAAGAAAGAAATCCAAATAAAGAAAAAGACTTAAATAAAGACAGAGACAGAAGTGGAGACAAATATAATTACAAAGAAAGATATAATTACAAAGACAAATATAATTATAAAGAAAAAGATTCAAATAAAGAAAAAGATTCAAATAAAGAAAAAGACTTAAATAAAGAAAAAGATTCAAATAAAGAAAAAGATTTTAATAAAGACTTTTATAGAGAAAAAGAAAAAGAAAAAGAAATAAATAAAGAAAAAGAAAAAGAAATAAATAAAGAAAAAGAAATAAATAAAGAAAAAGAAAAAGAAATGAATAAAGACAAATATGATAACAGAGAAAGAAATGTAAATAAAGAAAAATATAATTATAAAGACAAATATAATTATGGAGACAAATACGAAAATAAAGAAAAATATAATTCCAGAGATAAATATAATTATGAAGACAAATACAATTATGAAAATAAAGAAAGAGAAACAAATAAAGAAAAAGAAACAAATAAAGAAAAAGAAATAAAAGAAAAAGAAATAAATAAAGAAAAAGAAATAAATAAAGAAAAAGAAAAAGAAATAAATAAAGAAAAAGAAAAAAGAGACAGAACGAGGTGTACAGACACCTCAAGGAGAGAGAAATAGAGACACCTGAACTGCAGCGAGCTGCGGAGACACTCCGCGGCTGCTGCCGAGGGTTTAGGGTTTAGGGTTTAGGGTTTAGGGTTTAGGGTTTTGGCTGCGGGGGGTTTTGCCCCCCGCGCGGCCGCGCCAGCTTTTCGCAGCGGCTGAGGTGTACGTACACCTCAAGGGAGAGCCCAGTCGCTAAACCCTAAACCCTAAACCCTAATAATCGCAACTGCGGTTTTTGATTCTTCAGCTACTTTCCGACTCGAGGGTTTGGAGATTAGGGTTTAGGGTTTGGGGTTTAGGGTTTGGAGCGCTTCGTCGGCCCTCAGGGAACTCGAGGGCCGAGAGACACTGCAAGGGTTTAGGGTTTTGCGAGTTCCAAGTCCAGCTAGGGTTTAGGGTTTAGGGTTTAGGGTTTAGGTTTGCAGCGTGAAGCAAAAAAGCGGCGCGTTTACAAGCTGGAAACCCTCGGTTTTCAAAACCTGGGCTAGGGTTTGCAAACCCTAAACCCTCGACTGCAAACCCTAAACCCTAGTGACAAACCCTGAACCCTGATTTGCAAACCCTAAACCCTCAGGGGCCCCAGGCCGTTGGGGCTTAGCGCTAAACCCTTATTTTTTGGATTTAATTTGATTTTTGAAACCCTAAACCCTTTTTTGAAATTCAAAACCCTAATTGCTAAACCCTAAACCCTCGAGGTGACACCATCGGCGAGCACTGCAGCAGCCCCGTGAGTTCTGGGGCCCCACACACGCGTGTCTTCTAGGGTTTAGGGTTTAGGGTTTACGTTTTAGGGTTTTTAAAGTTTAACTTTTTCTTTTTACTTTGTCTTCTCAAGGCTCGAGGGTTTGTTGGTCCGCAGACACCTCGACGCCTACACACTCGCGGATTAGGGTTTAGGGTTTAGGGTTTAGGGTTTAGGGCTGTGGCGTCCGCGCTGTGAGCTCTGGAAACCCTTTTCTAGGGTTTAGAGCTTTGGGCTTGTGGCTCGCGGGTTGAATCCTTCCGCCTCGTCTCTAGGGTTTAGGGTTTAGGGTTTAGCTGCAGGGACCTGGAGACTCGGGCTTGTTTTTCGCGGGTGGGGTTTAGGGTTTAGGGTTTAGGGTTTAGGGTTTAGGGTTTAGGGTTTGCCTAGATGTTTGGCGCCTCCGCTGGAGGTCCCCTATCCCCGGGCGGCGCGGCGAGAGTGGAGGATGGTTTAGGGTTTAGGGTTTGTGGTTTGGGGGCCCCGGGCCCCGTCAAAACCCCAATTAAGGGTTTAGGGTCTCTTACAGAACTCAGGGGAAGTGTTTTTATGTCTCGGAGACTCTGGAGGACTGTCTCCCTTTACTGGGCAATAGCAGCAGCCACGGCCCTCATTGTCATTATTTTCGAGCCCGTAAACCCTAAACCCTAAACCCTAAACCCTAAACCCTAAACCCTAGATGGGCGGCGCTGGCAGCGCCGCGCAGGACTGCGAAAGCGGCAGCTGCGGCACTAACAGCCGTCGCTTGCGAGCCCAGAAACCCTAAACCCTAAACCCTAAACCCTAAACCCTAAACCCTCGATAGGATTCGCTGGGAGCGGCGTGTAGGGAGCACAGGCGGGCGGGGAGCGCGGCGAGGCGGCCGCGAGGGTTTAGGGTTTAGGGTTTAGGGTTTAGGGTTTAGGGTTTAGGGTTTGTGCAGGCTGCGGCTTCGCTGCGTTTCGGGGGTTTGCAAACCCTAGTTGAGGGTTTGTCGCCGCTGGTGAGTTTCCTCTTGGGCCTTTTTGTCTCCACTTCGCTCTCGCGCTGGTGGGCCCTCAGGCAGCAGCTGACAGCAATTTCTGCTTCCGTTTATGATGTTTTGCTGCTGGCTTGCTGCCACTTAGAAGACCCGCAGCAGCAGCAGCAGCAGCAGCAGCAGCAGCAGCAGCAGCAGCAGGGGTGGCTGCAGCGGCGAGGGGGCGCCGCGCCGCAGCAGGGCACGAGCTGCGGCGCTGCAGCAGCAGACGCGGACCTGCTGCTGCTGCACGACGCCCCAACAGCAGCAGCAGCAGCAGCAGCAGCAGAAGGACCAGCAGCAGAGGGGCCTGCAGCAGCAGCAGCAGCAGCAGCAGCAGCAGGGGCGGCAGATGGACTACCAGCTGCAGCCCCAGCAGCAGCAGCAGCACAGGGGCCCCCAGCAGCAGCAGAGGCACCCGCGGCCGCAGCTCCAGCAGCAGCACAAGGACCCCCAGCAGCAGCAGCAGCAGCAGCAGCAGCAGCAGCAGCAGCAGCAGCAGAACCTTACTGGCTCTGCAGCAGACACCGCATTCTGCGCCGTTTGCTGCGGCTCGGCTGCCTCAGCTACCACTTGGTTTTTGACGCAGCTCAAGGGACCGACGACCTCCACTACTTGCTCCGTAAGGCCATTCTGCGCCGTTTGCTGCGGCTCGGCTGCCTCAGCTACCACTTGGTTTTTGACGCAGCTCAAGGGACCGACGACCTCCACTACTTGCTCCGTAAACCCTAAACCCTAAACCCTAAACCCTAAACCCTAAACCCTAAACACTAGCCCTCGCAGAGCCCTAGGCGCTGAACGCTACACACTGAATGGTGCATCAGAAGGAACTGCTGCAGAAAAGAGCGAGCAAATAAATCAGATGGGAGTGCTCCACGAGAACTAGGGTTTAGGGTTTAGGGTTTAGGGTTCACGACTTAGGGTTTAGGGTTTACGACTTAGGGCTAAGGGCCTAGGCTCCATACTGGCTCTCTTCGATTTGCGAGGCATGCGCCTCTCACTAAACCCTGTTTTAGGGTTTAGGCCCCAGAGAGCCTGATGGAGTACCGCTAGAAGAACAGCGTTAAGGGTTTAGGGTTTAGGGTTTAGGGTTTTGCGCAGAGGAGGGTTTGCTGTCCCCCAAAGAGGGTTTGTGGCTAGCCCCCCTCCT